TTACATGGCTATATGCAAAAAAGTGTTGGCTATCGATCTGTGAAAACCGGAGATCGATATCTCTTTCCATGGGGGAATTATTCAAAAATTAGTCAGGGACATTGCTTTTTGAAAACGATAATAGTATCTATTCATTTATATTTCTACTATATAATTAGGCATAACCATGTTCTTTCCTACTAAATAACATAAACTTCCATGTTTGTATTACTAAACAAGCATTATTTTGTTATCTTTTATGTCAGTATTATACTAATCAAGTATTCCTCTTTTAATACTATAAAAATAAAACTGTTGATGATTATTTTCTGTTTTGTGTATACTGTCAAACTGTGTTCCTGAGCAGCCAGTATTCCCCTCATTTGAAAAGGAAGGGTCTTCAAAACTTAAATTAGGGTGTTTCCCTCACTGTCTGACGGCGGGCGCGTATCACGGGTCCTTAAAATATACCTTTTTAGGGCGAGAATATAAGATTTGCAAAAAACATGATTGTATACGTTCTTAAAGTGCCCGCCTATGTTCGCCCTTAAGAAGCTTATGTACATCCAAGAAGCGCCTATGTATGCTTTTAAAGGGCCTTACCGTCCGCCGTCTGACGGTAAGTCCAAAAGCGTATAGGTATAAACTTGACGAACAGTCTGCTTATCACACGCGAACGCACCTTATTAACTGTCTATTAATTGACCATGTTTACGTTGTTCGAATGATGTAATTATGACCGTAAAATGACTTCTACAACTGGTTCAGCCGATTAGGTAATTTTACGGTCGTAATTACATCATTCGAACAACGTAAAAATGGTCAATTAGTGGACAGTTAATGAGATAAAAACGAGGTACTTATGGTTATCAAAAACAGCAGTGTCTTAGGTATCTCTTAATGACTGAAAAATGCCTCATAAACGTCTGAGTAATGATCTAAAAATGATCATCAATGAATGATCGATTTTATATAGTAAAAAAAATGGTCTAAAATACGATCGAATAACGATACCGTTTAAGGCATAAAAACTAAATAAGAATGACCTTAAACGATCTAATAACGGCCAATTAGTCACCCATTAATGACTCATTAATGAGCCATAAACCAGTCATTTTTTATCTCATTTTCATCGTCCTGGGCTAGTTCTGTCTGCTTTTGTTTCTTTGTGTGTTTTTGCATCAGTACGCCTATAAATTACATCATGAATATAAGTATAAGTTTACATTTCTTGGAATACATGGTAGGATAGCCCATAGAATTCTGAATACATCAAGAGGTTTTTTCAACTTTCTAATTGAGAAAAACACAAAGAGAAATAGTATTGATTTTAGCACGAACATTCCAGTGCAGTTTCTGCAAGTCTTAAGGGAACTCCACAAAAGAGACCGCAGATTGCATCGGAGATTGATACGCATTCTTTTCCAATGTCACTCTATTTTCTGAGACGGTTAAGGTTAATATGAGCATCCCTGCTCTGTATCTGACTTAAATTCACAATGATAGCTAAGCTGATTCTCCAATCTTCACTCCAACCTTTCAGGGGTAAAAGCAGTTTTTTCAACCTTTCTCGTACGTTGACTCTAACTTGGTTAGTGTTTGTTTCAGAGCAACTATCATATTCTGTATATTCCATGACTTTTCGTGGTAATCTTACTCTATCGAATTTAGTTCTGACAATATCGATAGGAAGCGAAACGTTGTGCTATTAGTATTATTTTCCAGTTGCAATTTCAACTGATTTGTGGCATCAGCCAATTCACTTGACAACTGAATTTTTATATCAACCAGTTTTTCTGCGAATGTTTTAGTCTCTGCTCTACGTGTTTGTTTCTGTCCCAAGACATTCGAGTGATTTTTGAGTGAGGATTCTAATAGTGTTTGTTTTTGTACGAATGCTTTCGCCTGTTTTCTGAGCGATAACTCGAGTTAAGATTGTTTTAGTTTTAAAATATCGAGTGATGATTGTAACTGTGTTATTTTCTGTGCAAAATGTCTTAGTAATTGCTAAGTAATAATTCTAACAGATTTTGTTTTTGTTCAAAAGCATTTGTATAATTAGCCACCAACGGTACTGCTACATCTAGTTGAGAAGAAACTGTTCGAATGGCTACCGCGCGGACTGACTTGAGTTTTGAAATGATAACACTTCGATAAACAACAGTCGTGTTTTCTTGATAGTTTCATATATTCAGTGTATATGCCTGAACAGGTTTCACAACAAACTTTTCACCGTTAAGTTCGATCAAGTGTCGATTGTTTATGCAAAAGCCAAAATTATTCTCTCGTATTTGGCAGATGTCATTGCACCAGTGTTCGTTATTGACTATTAATCTGAATTACCTTTGTCTGTCTTCATTTCCCTAATAGATAAATAATAGGTTAATTAAGTTTTTTTGGTTGGTGCGTTCACATGTGATAAGCAGACTGTTCGTCAAGCTTAACCACACCGAACGGAAGAAAGAGTTTCGGAGGCATGAAAAACTCTTTTCGGAACGCTTTAAGGGTACTTTCGTAAACCTTTATTTGTTCGGTGTGGTTTCAGTTTCCCGAACGCTTTAATCGTTTTTCAAAATACGTATTTCTTTTTACAGTGTACCATCTCCCACAATCCCATGCTACTTCATTTACACTTCTCGATATTATCATTATTCCATTCATCATTGCCGGCTGTTTCTTTCTCTTCTACCTGCTTCACAAATACAAGAAACATCAAGATGTTCGTTCAACTCGTCTCCTCCTACGTCGTAGTCAGAGTAAAGTGGTAGCAAACATAAAAACAAGAAGAAACGACATAGTCGCAGTAGTCACTTTCGTAGTGGCATTTCACCACAAACCACAACCACAAGTCGGAGAGGAGTCTACTGTCACAACGTAGTGAAATGTCAGTTGCAACGACAGCAGCAACACAAACCGATGTGCAGTCGATTGCAAGCATAGTACACCGACCACCATCGATTCTAATTTCAGCGAAACTGCCATCACCACCGCCGAAGCAACCGAGTCCGAGAGAAACGTTGAGATATACAGCTGATACAGCGACTGGAGCGAAGGTATTGAAAGAGAGAGTTAAGGGAAGTGTTAGTTTTGATGTATAACCTTACCGAGAGAGAATGAAAATGAGGAAGATGGATTCTTTGGATGAAAAAGCAAAGAACAGTCAAATCTTTTAGTGGAATAAACGGCACACATACAGTTGATCTATCTGGAATGCGCTTCAATGTCACATTGAATATTTGGTTAAATACTTGATAAATGCACCTTGCGCAAGTGACATGTCATTCTCGAGTAGGTCTGTTTGGTATCAGACTATTATGAAAGTGCGTTTTTCGCAATCCAGTTATTCTTAGTTTTTAGGTGGTAAAGTTGAATCGCAGAGTGACATAGCTTTTTACTTCTTTACGTTTCTAAAACACCATTGCAAATGTTTTCATTTTTCCTAAGGAAAATCCTCTGTTCTGCCTAAAAGATTCCAAATGTCGCATGATTTCAAAAGTAGGCTGATGGTTGCGTATAAATTACCGAGAAGTTAGCCACAGGAGAGATTTAGCTAAGGCAAGTATTTCGAATGTTTATAATCGTAAGCCCTTTTGCACCTAACAGCAGTATTAACACATCTTTCTTCTTTGTTCATTTTATACAGTAAAAGGGCAGCAGGTTAACAAAGAAAACACTCTAAGACGAACTTAAAATACATAAAAATTTGAATAAATAAAATAATATATTAGAGCTAAATGATACATGTAAATGTAGAGATCTATGCATATGCATTAGACTTTTTTCCCATCTATGCTTCCGAGTCTTTCTCCTTCGCTATATTATACGATTCTTCTGTTATATCGATAGCCTTTTGCACTCGTTTAATAGCTTTTTCATCTCTTGTACGCTGATTTTCATAGATGCCAATAGTTTTTTCAAAACACGACATGGCTTTCACTCGGTTGTTCTTCTCGAAATAAGCACAACCTAAGTTATAGTAACTACTAGCTGTACTTAGATCGTTCGGCGGCAATGTTGCTTCTCGCATTTTAACAGCCTGTTTATACTGATCAACAGCCTTTTCAAAATCTTCCATATCCGTGTACATATCACCCATATTATGTATAATACGTGCTTTCAGTGGATGGTCTTCAACAAAATATTTTCCACACATAGCAAATGCTTTTTGAAAATATTCCTGCGCTTTTTGATAATCTTTTTTTAATCGATATAGAACTCCAAAGTTATTATACGTCAGTATAATGTCCGGATGTTCTTCCCCACCAACATTTTGTATCTCCAAAACTTTTTCATACATCTCAATAGATTTATCATAGGCGCCTTCGCGAAGCTTTACATTAGCAATAGATGTCCACACTTTAGCTACCGACGGGTGATCTATCGGCAAATATTTTGTTGTTATTTTCCTAGCTTTGTTATAGTGTTGGAGAGCTTCGGCAAAATGATTTTGCCTTTCACAAAGCATTCCTAAACTATGGTAGCAATCACCCGTAGTCGGATGGTTTTCGGACACAGTCGACATACAAATTTCTAATGCACGCATATACTGTTTTAAAGCTTCTTCATAGGCTCCCTGATCAAGATAGACACCCCCTATCGATTTATAAACACTAGCAACTGAAGAATGATTAGCACCCAGTGCTTTTGCTCGAATATCTAATGCACGCTTATACTTTTCGAGCGCATCTTCATAGCGACCATATTCATGAAGTACACCGCCAATTACTTGATAGTTTAAAGCAATTGATGGATGCTCAGAAGGCAGGTTAGCTTCACGTATGTTCAGTGCTTGTATATAGGTTTCCATTGCTTTGTCAAACTCACCAAGTGCATGGTGAACACCACCGATTGAACTATAGTTATCAGCTAACAATAGGGCATCTTCTCCTAAAAATTTTTTTCTATCGGCCAGAGCTTTCTTATGGCAATCAAGTGCCTGTGGATATTCGCCCTTCAAAAAGTGAATCCAACCGATATTACTACGAGACTGTGCAATATGCAATGTCTTTGTCTTTTCATCTCCTGACTGGCATCTTTCCTGCATTTCCAGAGCATCATTAAATTTCTTTTTTGCTTTATCATATTCTCCTTTTTCACCGTAGATAACCCCTAAACTGTTGAGAGTGTTGGCCAACGAAAAATCGTATGATGAAAGAGATCTCTGTCTTATTTCATAAGCGCGATTGAAATTTTCCAACGCTTTGTCATATTCTCCCTTATAACCATAGGCACGTCCTAGGTTATGATAAATATCAGAACTTTCAGCATCATCCGCTTGCATTTGCTCTTTCATAGTCTCAAAATACTTTTGAGATTCAGCGTATTTTCCCATATCAAGAAGTAGTTCTCCAAAGAGCATACGTTTGCCGCTATCGGAACTTCTGTTTCCTAGTATTGCGACGTTTTTAGAACCCTCATCTGTCGCTAGCATGTACACCTTGTACATTTTGTCAGGATGATCATACTCAACTTTATCGATTTGAAATACTGCGCCGATACTAAACAATACTTCAGCTTCCATTGAAAATTCACTTAGCTTTGTAATATCGGCAAAGACAACTTTTTCTAGTTTAGTACTAACTCGAATTTCAAACAACACTGGCGTTACGTCACCTGGAGTACTGTGTGTCTTTGCAAAATTCACTGCTACTTTTTTACTTCTCGTTGTTGAAAAAAATCCATTTGTCGAAATCAAACTATGTTCATTATGTTGTAATTTATCAATTTCATTTTCTGACATTTGTTGCCCACGGTATAAAACCAATTCATCTTCTTCTTGTTTCATTTTGTCAAACTCTGCTTCTAATTGGTTACACAAATCAACGATAAATGTACGAAATAGGTACAATGATGTTACATCTTCAGTACGAAGGGCCTTATTTACCAGGCGATAGAGAAATGTTTCTCGTGTATACCATTTAACTGCATCTGCCGGCATATAGTTGCCGGCAAATTCAGTAATATCGGCAGCATACTTTGGTTGTGTATTGTAATAACTTCGACACATGTTCACCATTGCTGTGAGAGAATTTTTACTTGTTGGCATCTTTTTTAATGCATCGACTAACACTTGAAACCACAAAAACGAAGCTGCCTCTTTAGTTAGATCTTTCGTTGTTCGCTGCTTTTTTTGATCAAATAAACTGAAGGCAAGTGCTTCACGAACAATTGATTCAATTTGTGATACTGCTGCAGCAAATAATTTATCGAAATTATCAAAACGCAACGCTTTTGTAAACGACGGATACAAGGAATCATTGGAATGGTCGAAAATGTCAAGAATTAAAATTGAAACTATTTGTCGCTTTTGATTCACTTCACCTAAATATTCTTTTACAGAATCTATAGTCATAGCATTTGAATGTGATAAAATTATCACAGCTTTCTCTTTTTCAATTAGTTGAATGTATTCTAATGAGTCTTTCATACAACTGATTGTAGGAGTAAGATGCACAGGAGAAACAGGTATGGTGAGATCATCATAAATTTTTACTGAATTATTGACTTGTTGAAGTTTTTCTTCAAGCTTTTGTTTGTTATAGCTTTTTGGCACAGCTCCAACCCATAGAAGAGTAATATCTTCTTGATTTCCTGATGTGGTTTCATTAGCGGCTACAGCTCGTAGATTCAGTGGAGGTACAATGGGAGCCGACTTTCGGCGAGATTTCAAAGCAGCAAAGGTATTCTCGTCGTTTTCGTGATTTGCATGGGACGAAGCGTGACTGTTACCCATGACCTTCCTAGAAAAGTATAGACTTTGCGACGAAAAGTGGATCACTACAGATCACACGAAAAAAGCTTACTGAAACTGATGCAACTTCAGCCTTTATTGACTGTATGCAACCAACAGACTTCTCTTTTGGAAAAACGACTAAATCGTCTCTCTATAATCTGCATTCACACTGACAGTGTTATCTGTTTCAGACTCATCCTTTTGTCGACTTGATACAAAATACTAAACTCCTGATCTGACGAGGTCAAGTTTGATTCAGGATCCTGTTTCGAATCCTAGTAATTCCTGTTTCCAGGATTTTTAAGGTTAAACAGGATCCTGTTCAGGATTTCTTCAAGTTCATGCTCAGATATTTTTCTGAGTTGAAAATACAGGGTCGTACCAGGATTTACTCTAGATCCTATCAAGAATCCTCACACAATTATAAGAGAAGACTTTGTCAAGATTTTATCAGGTTTCCGTCAAGATCTGGGCCAAATCTTCATATCCGGATCCTGTTAGAAGTGATAGCCACATCAGACAACGGTCTTTGCAAGAAAATAACAAATAACTCGATCAGTCAGAATACGAAACTAACTAATGCTGTAAAGCTTCAGTCAGGATCTTGTTCAAAACTTTTCAAGAATATCCGTTTCCAGACCTAGAGGACAATGTCAATTCTAATAAGAATCTTGATGAGACAATATAAGGGTTTAGCAAAGATCTTTGCAGGTTACTGTTTAGTCTACAAAACCGTCTTCATTTCTTGAGAGAGCCTAGAAGGTTCCTTCAACATCTTAAATGTCAAGAATCATGTCAAGTTTGATTCCGGATTGATTTTCCAGTATTTGTTCAAGTTCTTGGTCGGATGTTTTCCTAAACTGATTTTGCAGGATCCTACTAAGATTCTTCTCGATCCTATTCAGGATCCAGACAAGAATCACAGAAAGATTTCGGTCAAGATTTTATTAGGTTTGAGTCAAGATTTGTTCTGGATCGTGATAGGACGATCCTGTCAAGAGTTATAGTCATATCAGAGAAGGATTTTACCAGGAACAAAACACGATTTGTCAAAATCCTCAACTGATAAATCCTGCTAAGCTTCGGTCAGTATCCTGCGCTGAATTGCTCAAGAACAGGCATTTCGAATCCTTAAAAGAAAGTACGAGTATGATCAGGATCTTGATGAGAAAATACAAGGATCTAGTTAAGATCTTTGCAGTTTTGTGTTTAGAGACCATTCAGGCTTTGATTTTCAGGATCCTATCAAGATTTATAACTAATTTTGTTCAGGAACTTGGCAAGAATGGATGACGCTCACGTTTTTAGCTAGGTTCAGGTCAGGATCCGTTCGAGATTTATAAATCTATAGATCACAATAGAGGTTATTTCTTTATTTCTTCACTTTTTTCGGTGTTGCATTAGCATAAGCTAGCCTTTCTTTGCAACAACCATGCTTGCAAAAATAAAAATTCAGTTCAGTTCAGTTCAGTTCAATACCAATGTTGAGCAAAATTTAAAAAAAATAAAATGGGGAATTTTTCGAGATCGTATTGTGTTTTTGCTCGAAACACGACAAAATTCTGACAACTGAATAATCCACTGGCATTTTTATCCTGATCTTGATTTGGTTCTTTTCATAAACAAATAGAACGAATCTAAAAAAAATCGTAAAAAATTTTCCTCTAAAGTTTATATAAAAATTGTTTCATTGGTATGTAAACTGCAGGTCTAGAGATCGATACTCTATGTGTTCGCTTCTCTTCTGTTCTATTTAGAAAATCCTGCAAAGATCCTATCAAGAAATTTAATAACATCTTCAAGGAAACCTTGCTAAATGCTGAAAGATGTTATCAGAAATCTTCTTTTCCAATTAGGAATTATTGAAATCCTGACGGGATTCTACAGTCTCCTGGCTACACACTTCAGCCAGGAATCATCGGTTTTCTGGCTCAATCCTGGTTCTAAAACAAAGGTAACTTGTCAGGATCCTTGAAACTCTTATTTTGAATCCTGACAGGATCCTGAACTCCCGTGGCTACACACTTCTTTCAGGATTTAATCGTTTCCTCAGGAAAGAAGAGCAAATCCTTGCAGGATCCTTATCATATCTGTCACGGATCTGGCACTGGAACATCAAAGATTTTTCCTAGGGATGTTTCATGCAATGCCGGCAAATACTAGTCCTGGGGTTCAAAAGAAATCCAATACAACACCTGAAACACTAAAAATCAAGGTCTCGCCCGGCATCCGTTCTGTAGGAAACACCTTGAACTAATTACCCATGAAAAACAATCTATTTATTTTTGCCTGAATTCTGCGTTATAGCTCGGTTTTCCAGAGATCTCCTGAAAAATTGGGTTTTCAACAAATTTTGAAAAGCTCCCCTGTTATATAAGGATGTGGTGATGCTTTGGCTATCGAATGATGAAAACCGCAACTCTCTAGCCATTGTCAGTCAAAAATTATTTGAAAAATGGTTTTTGTGGAGACAGTAATAAGTAGTAACCGCTTAGAAATCCAATATATCTAAAAATGTTAATTTTTATTAATGGGTGTCATTTGTAAAATTGTTGTGGTAAGAGCAGCAGCTATTTTTAGATTCATACCTTATTTTTCTTTATTATTTATTCGACGTTTCGAAAAAAATTTTTACATACCGATTACATACCGAAAATATCGGCTGCATACCGAAACTGCTTTTTCCCTCTTGCAAAAAAGTCACTTTTTATTCCACTACTATACGAGCACACAGACCAGCTGGTGCGCTGTTCAGTTCATGAACTGAAGGTCAAGAGATCAATACTCTATATGTTCACATTTCTGTTCTGTTTAGAAAATCCTGCAACGAGCCTGATCAAGTTCTTTCGCGATACCAGTACGTTATGCTCTTGTAAATACATGCTAATTCAATCTTATCCAGCTAATCTCAACAGATTCCTGGCACATTTCTTCGAGACACTTAGATGGAAGTCTAGTGGAGTTCGACAGTGTCCTCGAAGGATCCTGGAAAACTTTTTCACAAAATATCTAATAATTCTTGAAAAAAACTTGGCAGGATCTTTGAAAAACCTTGTTTTGAATCCTGTCAGGATCTCGAAATTTTGTGACTACACGCTTCTTCCAGGATTTAGTCATTTCCTGGCTAAATCCTGCTTGAAAAACAATGATAAACCTGTTAGGATCCTTGCAAATCTTATTTTGGATCCTGTCAGAATCCTGAAATTCAGTGGCTACACGCCTCTTTTAGGATTTAGTCGTTTCCTCAGGAAAGAAGAGCGAATCCTTGCAGGATCCTTATCATATCTGTCATGGATCTGGTACTGGAACATCAAAGGTTTTTCCTAGGGATTGAATGCTTTATAGCCAGCTGCAGCGTTGACACTCCGTTCACTTTAATTATAACGTTATCTGTAGACAACACACAAGAAGCCACGACCAGCAAGTAATTCTCTAGGACGAAAGATATATTTTTCTCTTTAATTCTAAAGTATTCTATATACAACAACAAAATTAACACACACAACTTACTGTTTGTTTGCAGAAAAATAAATTAAGTAGAAGAAATATGCATTAATAAGACTTCGGTAGCTGCGACTCAGCGACTGCTGTTGTCTATCTGAAATAGAGACAACAAAGAAATAAGACAGTTTACAATTGTATTTGTTAGCAGTCATGTGCACTGGTTACTTCAACGATGCAAGTTAGTTTCAATATATAAAACTTGAGAAGGTTCACTCTGGAAAATACAATTTATTTCTATAAATACACACAAAAATCAAAATTTTCAATACGATGGAGAAGCACCTAAAATCTGTCCAATAGTTGGGCCTACAATAGACCATGGTGGGAGTTGTGAGTCTTTTGGAGGTCTTAAATTCTTTTGATTAGACGTTCTCGAAGGTTTTTCCGGCCACCTCTTTTCCTCTGGCTCATCATCACTCGTAGGCTGCTCTTTGACTTTCGTGGTAGTTGAATTCGCCATAGATGGTGCTACTTTAGCACCTCGTTTAGCCGATTCACCTTTTTCGGTTTGGATTTGGAATAAAGGGAAGGGGCTTTTTCCTTTTTCAAACTCGACCTTCAGTTCGGCAATCAGAGTCTTTTGTCTCTCTAGTTCTGTACTCAACTTAGTGGTTTTCATCTTTTCCTGCTGTAGCAGTCTTTCTAGCTCATCCGAAGATTTCTGATTAATTGGTGGCAGAGTTTGAGCTGGTTCTGCAGACGTCGATGCTGGAAGGGCTGGGGATTTAGCAAGACCTGGTTTCACTCGCGAACTAGATCTACAGCAACAGTACAAAACAAGAAAGAGAACGGAGAGAATCAGTGCTGCTCCTGCACAGCCTACTTGTATATATCTGTAAAGTCTCTTAGCATCAGCTTGAGTGTAATTTGCAAGGGGAGGAATAACATAGTGAAACGAGTCTAGTGTTGGCTGAGAACTGCACGATGATAATGTCAATAGACAGATTGCTGGATTGATTAAAAATGCAATGTCAAAACCAATCAAGGCACACAAGGCGAGGATACTTAGGATATCGAAGAATAAAAAACATTTCGATGAGCCATTGCAGCATACTACAACAAAAAACAAAAATAGAAACAATTATTAATTGCGGTACAACCTATCGAACAGTAACGAAATGATCGACAAGGTCGTCTCATATACACAAAATGTGAAAAGTGTCCGTCAAAGGTATACAACGACATCGCGCAGTAATTCTTACACTTGCATATAAATGTGTTTTGTTTGCACTTGAGGAAAAAGAGGTCGCTGGATTTCTCTCCTTTAATATCACATACATGATTGGACGCATTAAAAAGTCTAATATCGTCTCGCCCTTCATCGTGCACTTCTCTTCCTTGTAACGATTTTTTCCCCTATGAAATTCAGAATTTTCTTTCTCATTCGTGACTTTGTTGTTTGTTCTTCTATTTTGATTTTTTTAAATGAACAATAACAACATAAGAATCCTTTTAAAACTAGTCATTCCCAAGCAGGAAAAAAAATCGACTATCGGAGATAGCTAGCCAAATCTTTATCTATTGCCGATTTTGTTACAAAATTTATGGGAGAAATCAATGTAAGTCCATAAGATTTAGCTACGAGGAACATCAGCTACAAAAAAAGGTCAAAATAAAATAGTCTGGTAGAAGTTTTGAGTTTATATGATTGAAACTCTCGTCCAGTAGCAAGGAAAAAGCATGCCGACCGCATTCGAACAGTATGGAACAGCTGTACTTCATTTGATCATTTTACAGGAATTGAAGCTACATGTGAACCGAGTGCGCCAACAATTCAGAGCAGCAAAGCAAGCCAAACAAATGGCAATGGAAAAAGATAATGCGGCTACAATACATATAGACTGGTCGGAAAACTACAATCTGAAACAAGCGCGTCAAGAAAAGGGTAACTGACGGAACAATTTGGATTGTTATCTGAAAAACGCCATTAGTGTAAC